CTTTCAGGGTCGACGGAATGTTTTTCGTACGGCATAGGATATTATTAGATGAAATACGATTCGCAAATTGAATAACTTAATATCTGCTTCTAGAAAAAGAACAGGTAAGCGTTTTTCAATTTATATTATAATAACTTGAAAATATAAGCTTGTTAGAGTGACTTAAGTAAAATATTTTTTTTGTATCGGAAGTCGATGTGTTAGTATTTATACTTATTAATTTCTTAAGTACCTTAATATTGTTTCAATATTCTTTTATAATTTAAATTTCTATTGTGTAATCTGTGTTAATGTAAATATTAATCTTGTTAGTGTTAATAAATATATATAAAAACACTTCTAAATATCTCAAAGTTTACCATAATTTGACATGTTGAAATATAGCTTTTTTGGTATAAATATTTCATCCATCGTCAGCTGATCAGGATCGTGTCCTGTTTCGGGGCTTTTCTAATTATTTTTATAATTGGCGGTTTTGAGCTTTTTGCATTCTCGACCTACTGAAAACAGGTGGTGAGGAATGTTATCTGTTCTGTGGTATCTCCATTCAAATAGTGGTGAACACCTGAATTGCTATTCTATTAAAAAAATCCTTCGACTCGATAACGAATAATAAAATAATAAAAAAAAAACAAATAATGCTGTAACAGCGCTGCATTTGAAGCGAGGCTGTTTATTTAACAGCATAGTTGATGTGTTAATTTGAATTTCTGCCTTGCCAATGCCGAGTTCTATTGTCTTTGCATTGCACTTTATGTATCTCTGAATTTTCTGTAGTCTTTTCAATAAATGACATGGCCTGATAAGTAAACACGGTAGATATTCATAATTATGTATGTGATGCTATTAAATAAGACCAAATTGATGTGGTCATACCACGTGAAGGTCCGTAATGGATTCGCGCCAGTAATTGGGCGTTGATTGGCGAAATGTACATCAGTGTACATCGTACATTAGCACTAATTGTTTAATTCCGGTAAATTATTAGTAACCATGCTATGGACAATGTTGTGTTTAGGACAGCGGTGTGTGTATATATAGTCGCCAGTTTACTAGATGAAGACAAATTCCTTGATCTGATCAAAATCAATTAGAAGTTTTGACCTTTTCGACGTTTCAATAAAACTCAACAGTTTTAAGAAATTATTTTTTATACTTTAATATCGCTGAGTTATATGGCATGAACAACAACAACAAATTCAATAATCTTATCGATTTTATATAGGTAAACTAACCTTACGCCAGCGGCTTTGCCTGCGTGATCTAGTTTTAAATGAAAAAATTCCATATAAACTTCCCCTAATTTAACCCCTTAGGAGTCAAATTTCGTAAAAACCCGTTTTAGTGACCAGCTACGTTCTAAAAAGAACCCGCATGCAAAATTTGAAACTCCTAGTATTTGTAGTTTCTGAGATTTCGTGATGAGTGAGTTTGTGAGTGACCTTTCGCTTTTATAAATATATTAAGATGACATATTTAGTAAACAAATGAAAGATAGTTTCATTATAATTAAAAACAATTGTATATTTAACTTTACAAAATTATGTATACCTATAGGTTTGAGCTTGGAGATATTTGAACCATAATTTATTTATATTACTTTTCAAATAAATTGATTATATCAACGAGACTTGTAATCTGGTCAAAAGAACTAATAATTAACTATTTAACTTTTAAAAATAAAGATAATTGTTTTTATTTTGTATTCTTAAAAAAAAACTATCTCTATGAAATGTGTGTGAAACTGACACCGTAAACAGAAGTTAATAAGCGTCAAGTATAATACTAAAATATTAAAATCATACGTGATCGATGATCGTCACCTTGTCTATATGCAAATCCCATAGTTATCGGTGATGCAAAAAATTTGAATTTCAAATTTGTATTTGTTTATTTTTTCGATATGCACACCTAATAGTGCGTACGTATTTGAATATTATTGCGTATGCAAAAAAGTTGATTTGTTGAGTTGTGGCATTTTGCAGGTCGGGGTTCGTTTTGACGTGCAAATTGGATTTTTGACGGTTGTCAATCTGTTCCACTGTGGTACTGTGATGATATCGTGATTGAAATTGTTTTTTTTTTTGATTGATTGATGTTTTTGATAATACATGTGGAATAATTAAAATAAAATAATTTATAGTTAAAATAAGATTAGTAAAACATATTTACATATTACAAATCTTAATTCAACGTTATTTATTCAGTCTAAGCTTCTACAAGTACTCTTTTATTATGTTGGCGAAAAAGTCTTTTTGCATATAATATGCATAAACTTGTAATAATTTCTTTCTAGCTATACCATTTGCATCTGGCTGGTTTCGGTGTCATTAAAAAGTTTTAATTTTAAAGAAGATAATTCCGAAATAAAATTAGGAAAATGTGTGATTTTCGTTTTTTGAATTCGATACATTTTTAATTTTTATTACAAATCGCTAAAAATGCAACGCAGGTCACAAAAAATTGTAATGTTTATGGACCTAGTGTGGTTTTTATAAGACTAGCTTGTGCTAGTGCTTTGGTTTAAGCTATTTGAAGTCAAAGACACACGTCGCGATATTGTGAAAAAAAATATAAAGAATGTAATAGATATATTAGTTAGTTTGCCTTTGCAGTATAGCTGTAAAATATACTTTTGATTTGTGTTTTCGTTCGGTTGTGATCTATTTGTTACATCTCAGTTAATACAATACAATAAATAAAAACAGTAAAATTTTGTTTTTTTTTCTAAATTTAACTTTACCTCTTTGTCGGTCGATTATGTTAATTATAATGTGTATACTCATGCCAAATTACAGCTTTCTAATACCAATTGTTTCTGAGCTAAACCGCAGATGGACGGACAGACACGGCGAAACAAAGCTGGTACCTTGTTTACTACGGAAACCAAAAAACAAAAAATAAAAGTATTTGCAATTCCCTCAACTGACTGTCGCCATCTCTAGTTCACCGGGTTCCTGGTCCTGATCTGGTCAATATAGAAACAACTTTTCGATATTGTCTCACCTTTGTCTTTGCAGATTTCTTAAATTATTTCCATGACGCAATAATTTACTTACATCACAGGATCAATGTATGTGATGTTGTGCTATTATTTACAAATACAATAAAGGGTAATACAAATAAAGGATTCTTATTCTTTCAACAGCGATAACGGCTGCGTCAGTCAGATAATAGAAAAATATTAGATAAGTATTGTTTTGCCTTAATTTAATAAGAAATTGCTTGAATAAAAGGTATTAAAGATGAGGAATGTACAAAAGGTGTGACGTCATGCGACAATTCAACTCAATATATTTCCGTAATCGATTATGCAAAAAAATCGTGTTTAATATTCTTTAATAATCTTCAAACAAACAAAAACTAGTCATCATCTATTCATGCTCTTGGAATTCTTCAGCTAGTCACCAATGGATTCGTGATTTTCTATGGGAAAAGCTAATTATAACCCACGATTCTCATAGACAAAAACCGAGTGGATCTATAGTGTAGAAAGAAAAAATAACCCCATAAATTATGCGCTCTCACAAAAAAACACCCTATAGTATTGTCAGATTCGGTGTGCTTAATCTGCAAATTAAAGCTTTATCTAAGTTTTTGAACCTGTTCCACAAATTGTTCTCACGCTTTTATGAAATATTTCAACTATGTTTCTTTAACGCTTTTATTAGAGTTGTTGTAATCATTAATTCGTTTGTCGGGGTCATATTATCTTCCCAGTTAAATTTTACCCGCTTTCTGATTGAGCTGATTTTTTTTTATCTGTCTGTCAGGTATATTAATGAAGAAAGTTAAACACTTATTTTTATTTTATTTTTTACGTGATTAAAAAATTACTTTAATATCGCATCATGTCATACCTTTATACATTTTCTACGTAGTTCTGATGTACTGAGCCCCGGGCGGAGTGGGGACTCCTCAATTACCTAATTTCTATTATCTAAATCGAAGCAAAAGAAAACGCATCAAATATTTTTCTAGTATGTGACTGTCAGACTAAATATAATTTGTTTTTTTTTTAACCCAAGCATTATCCCTATCCAATAATAATATGAGATGAAGCTGGTCTGGTGATCGAACTTAAAGGTAGCCATGGAACAATATTACGAGTAGTATATCTACTCCCCCCCACCCCCTTTGAAGCATTCTTTATTTATTTATTTTTTATTTATTTTATTTATTCATATGGAGCTCATTTGACTTAACAAGGACTTTAGCCCAAGATAATATTTTGGTGCGATACTATGCGATAATTATCTGTTTTTACTATTTATTTATTTTTATACTAATAAAGATAGGTAACAAAATATAGGTAATATTATTTACCAGGAAATACAACTTGCTGACATAGTTTTTTACGTTCTTCTGTGAGTCACGATATGGCTTGAACTAGTTGAAGGTAAAAGAAATTGGAGGATTTAAAAGTGCTTTCAATTTGTAAGTTTATGTTGGTATTTCTTCACCAGTCTATCAATGTCTCCACTACTGGGAATTGGGCCTTCCTTATGTATGAATCGAATCGAATAAGGAGAATGGACTACGAGAAGGTCATTGCGAACGTTGCTAACCGAATAGCAGGCCGAGCGCTCGAGCTCCATCGAGCTCCAGCCTGGTTTTAAGTAAATAATGTTTTTATTTTATATTGACGGAAGAACAAAAGGCGTTCTATCCTTAAAGATTCCATGAGTACTTAAACTGTTTTCTAACTGTAAATCTACTTTAAAAATACATAAGTAGTTTATGACGACAAATGCTTCTTATATTGTTAGAACTTCAGTTATCAGACTAAAATCGTTTTAAACTTAAATCCTCCCGCAATGAAGCTATCAAAGTTAAGTGAACCCTGCAACTCTTACTGGCCACATTAACTTCACTGCTCCACAATGGCTAATGTTTTTCTAAGTTATAAAAGACGTCTAACTTAGATGGATCGTGCTTATACTTCATATGGAGTTACTAACTTCAAGTTGAAACTTATATAGCAGCCATTTCAACAGTTGATTGATAGTTTTGAGTGTAGGAAAATTTAATAAAGTCACATTTACGAAAAAAAAGGTATATTTTCAAAATAATTAATATTTAAACAGATATAATTGACAGTATATCTCGATAATAATACAATAGTCAATTTGTATGACTAATACAAAATGTAATAGATGAGTTAATTAAAACTAAACATCGTTTAAAAATGAAACTAAATTAACTAAAATATACAGGCCGTTGTTTAATGTAATTTACCTAAAGTAGATCACACGTTTATTTAAAATAATAACTAATATTCACAAGTTCAGTTACAAAAAAACTCGCATACATTTTTTTATATTAGAAGATATTCTAAAAGTTTATTTATATACGCATGCTTATTTTGCAATTTAATGAACTTAAAATTCAATTTAATTAATGTGACTATAGTTTGGAGATCTATAATACAAAATGATGTATGCCTCTGGGTAAAAATATGAGTTCACAATTTTCCACTATCTGCATTCTGTTATTCTTTTTATTAATATTGCAAAATTTATGGATATTAACAACCTCATATCGTTTAGAGTTATGTCAAAGTAACTTAATTTGAATGGCATAATGAGACAAGTTAAATTATTTTATAATTAAATAAGAGCTGCTTTCACAGTCAAATTTTAATGGAATTGAAATTTTTTAGAAGCATGCGTATTCAATTTTTGAAATCGGAAAGATGTTTCACAATTCCTTGGTATTTATTATCAAACACCATATAGATAATGAAAGACTCGGTAGTGAGATTAAAATGATTATTATCGTTAATAATAATTATAATAGTATTGCTTATCGTTTTTTTTTTTATAAATATACGTTACAAATTTTAAAGCGGCAAGCTCACTATTATTTTTACAAAAGACACGAATGTTATGAAATGTAAGTGGTTCTTGTTTATGAAAAAAGAGTGTCTTGTATAAAAATAAGTAGGTGATTTTAAATATATTATTATAGCGGAAATTTAGAAAATCTCTACTAGCTTATAGTCTTATGAGCAAAAAGCATACCAATTTTCATAAAATTATGTACAAAACTCTTATATGCTTGAACGTCATATACTTTGCATTAATTCATCTTTAGGCTAACAAAATCAAATGATTTAACCAAAAGAAATCCATTGATGATTTATACATCTTTGATTTGATTAAAATAGCAAAACCGTTAATTCGAATACAAACTTTATGTTTGTTAGCTTAAAGTTGCAAAATCTCATTAGCAAATAAGAGTTTCCAAGAGATCATTCGGAAAACTTCTTTTTTTATTTTTTATCTTCTCCTTAAATAAATACATTATCACATTTGAACACATCCTTCCATATTCCGTAATTAACCTTAACTAAAAACACTAAATACTTATGATTAAAAAAAAAGTATGAAAACACAATTTGTTCCCAAACATTTTGTTCCCATTTTGATACATATCATAATACAGTAATTAAACAATTTTTCTAAATGTTTGAATTTATTTTTCTATAAATGCATGGATTTATAAAAGTAATTCTTTGATTAATGACAATTCAATTATAGTGATTAAATATAAATTCAAAGCCTCAAATAAACTAAACAGCTTGCTTTAATCTACAGAGTATTACTACAGTGTATAAAAAACCTTATATTAAATAATAGCTCTGACATTTCTTGTCATCAAAATTATTTTACATAAAATAATCAAAAATTGATTAATTAGAAATACGAGTATGTTCTGATTCATTAATCCAAAGAATATTCGGAGCAGATTAAATGAAAACCAGAAACGACAGAGCAATTAGTCTTACCTTAAAAACAAATCTATTTACATAATTTTAATTAATGATAGCACTAAAATATAACCTTCTTATAAAATCTCCATTTCAAACAACTTTGCGCGTACCCTATTCAATAATTGCTTACGAATAAATACGTTAAAAATATCATTTAAAATAAACATTTTTTTCATTATAAAAAATAATATAAAATGAGATCAATCGATGATCATTTTTAGGTTGCTCTCTTTGGAACAATTTGTGGAAAATGGACTTTATGTCGACTTCAAATAAGAACTATTTTTCCGTAAGCTACGATACAAAACGACGGATACTGGTCCATTCTTCGAAAGACTCCCACTAATTTACATTTTATTCTATAAATAACATCTTAATACTTTTATTTATATCTATGGGTATATTTTTCAACACCAAAAGCGGAATGTAAATGACAGGCGATTAATATTTTATTTAATATAATAATAATAATTGAATTAAGTTACGGTGGACATTTTGTCTTCAATTTATCATGTGTATTTTTTAATTTCATTAAGTAATTTTATTTAAGGATTCATCTCATAAATACATTAAGTTCAGCAGAACATAGTTATTCTAAAGTATCAAATTAGACCGATAGTTTTTAAGTTTAATGCGTTAATATTTGAATTCAAAATCAATAATAACCTGGTGTCTGTATATTAAAAAAGAAATGCAATGAACACATTATTGTTTTATTTTTAGTAAGTAATCTTATCAAAAAGTCTTTACTTATTATATTTATATCATGACATGTAATGTGCGAATTAACAAGAACGCAGCTTTCAACAAAGTTACGCTTGATAACGCCTTTAGTGACTAAAGAAAATTTAAATAATGACAACTGTTTTTCGTATCAGAATATTTTATATTATTAGTAATGCCCTTTAAAATACCTTATTTTTTGTTTTTAACGATCTTCGATCAAAATATATTGATTGCTTATAAAAACTACTTTTACTCTATATATTATTTTAAAGTAAAGCAAAACCTTTTTTAAAAGCTTGGAGATTTTAAAATCTTAATATGTGAAACAGATTCTTTTTTTTACAAAGTCAGCTTTTAAGACTTTTCTTTTTTCTGTCGGTTTCTGTGTTGATTCTAATTTTTTCCACTAAATCTACTGTGTTTTACTGTGAATATTGCGGAAGAAACTAACAATCCCCAAAAGTTGAAAGCAGTGATTCTTGTTTTTTTTTTCATTGAGATTAATTAATAATAAATCCACACCATAACTAGTAAATAAAATATTCTGATACGAAAAAAATATGAAAATTTTCATAGAACCGTAACGTAGAATAACCCATCAGTTATTTTCCGCACGCTAGACGCTTTTGCTCCTATATATGAAGGTCGCACTTCACCGTTTGTTGGTCAGTAGTTTCCAGCCCAGCATGAACAGTACTGCTGTGCAAATGGACCCCGACAGCTTATCAGGGATGATCGATGAGAAGATGGAGCTCTCCGAACTCCTGGATTCGTCATCTGATGGGACAGAGTCGACTGAGGCAGCGTCGGTCTGGAAATAACAGAAAATATATTTAAGGAAATTTACCGCTTATGACAAGTTTTACTTAAGTTATTTGTAAATATTTGAGCAGTAATAAATGTAAATGTTTTATCATAATTGAACGATATTTTTTTTAAACAAAATGCAATTAAAATTGACTTGAATATTTACTAAATTATTTCGATAAAAAGCTAAAAATATATTTTTTAATAATTAGCAGTTGTATATTTCATCTCATTTTAAAAAAAAACAACTTTGTTAATCTAATTTTGTGTAGAGAAATGATAACTACAGTTTTTATATTGTTTTCCTATAATTGAATATTAATATTTATTTATCAACAAAATCAACCTTTGTGCTTCCAGTAAATAAATTTATGTGATTAGTAAGTACTATGATGTAACTTGTCGTTTCGTTTCATAGATTGCGAACCTGAAGATTTCCTTATATAAAATCTACTAATAAGTGTTATTTAATGTAAAGGATTTATTATCCTTGTTTTTTGTACCAGATTTTTAAATTTTAAGCATTTTTAGTATTTATAAAAATATATCACGTCTCAAATTGTATTTAAACGTAACTTAAACAGGTTTTCGTTTCTTAATTTAGTTCTTAAATTATCGGTTCATTAAATAAAACAGTAGTTTGATAAAACTTAAGACTTTTTGCCTTGTCCAAAGGAAAAGCCTTAAGTTATTGAGAGTTGAATTGAGATTGTGTACTTTTCACAATTCAGTAACCGGTCATCAAAAAAAAAAAAACACAAATATAAGTGTGCGTTTTCAAATTACTTTACATAATAATTCACTTTATTTTATTTTATTTACTTCATTTTCATATATAACATTAATATAATTTACTATTTGATGGATGATAGCTGGTGAGTCCTTTCGTTCGTTCTTTTTATAAGTCAAAAAACGTCTCGAGCAGGCGGGGAAAATAATGTTGAACGATACCAAAGTACTTATTTTAATTAGGTTATGTCAATAAACATTGATTTTAGACTAGATTAGTTTTATGATCTCATATAGACTTAAAAGCTCTATCGAATTGCAAGCAATTTTTTATCGTACCTTCACTTTAGAATACGGGAGATAACGTTGAAAGCAAACTTAAGTCTATCGTTTACCATTACAACAGTTTCTATAACGCCATATACTTTATGGTACGTAATATCACTATTAAATAACGTAAAGTGTAAATAGATGAAACTAAGAGAGCACTGCAAACTTAGCACACTAATAAAATTGGTAAACAGTGCCATAAGAAATACTCTGCATTCGGTACTTGAACGTACTTTTTGTAGATATTAATAAAACAATGTGCTCGTAAAGTTTACGGACTTGTATATAGATTACTTTTAGTGCATACGATCAGACTACGACACGATTGTGGTGACTCCCATGGTGGATTTGATAGTCAAAATATTTAATTTTAAATTAGTAAAATTTTATTTCTTTATATCGTTCACCTTATATAATTAATAACTCCATTTATAGGATACTAGCTATTTTCCCACGACTTTTCCTGCGTAAATTATAGTCTATGCCACCCACCTATGATGTAGCATTTTAAAGTAGATCTAGTAATTTTGGAGCATATTTGTTCCAAACATTCAAATATTCAAATCTTTTCTCTTTCTAATGTAAACAAAAAGACAGCCGTAGCAATTAGCTGATACTGGAATGATGCGTATAAAAAAACCATTAGACCTTTCTACTATCCGATAAAACGATAGAACGCTGAATGTAAGTCTACCACATGCAGCAATTCAAGTAAGTGATACACTTGACTATTTTATTGTAAGTATAATTTGAATGGTGTTTTTACTACGGATGGGGATGCGTGTTATGGGCGCATTAAACTGTTCGATTTCTACACTAATGTTATTGAGGTGTACGCCGCATTTTGTGAGATTTGATGGAATATGTTCCTTTCAATATTATGTATATTTTTAATGAGTAATTTATGTACGTGGTACGTTGCGCATGTTTCGTCTAAAGAAATGAGTTCTATGATAGCCTATAGATTTTATGATAATAACAAGAATTAATTAATTTATAGTTAATTTAATAATAATATCTGACAAGCATATTGCAAAAATCACTGTCTTAATAGTTTCACTCAATTTTGAGGAACAGTTTTATATTTCCAAATAATCTTTAGGTATTAGCAACCCAAACGGCTGTTTAGATTTATTTAGTGAACCAGATACGAGTTCACAATGAAATAAACCGATCCCGGCAGTTAAATCAACATAATAAAGTGTTACAGCCGCAATAGAAGGTGTAACTCTGGATGATATTTGACTATTGCCAATGAGTGCAGTGAACTTTATGTTGTTCGTTTTTTATTACTTTATTACGGTACTCCGAGTGCACTAATGCATTTAATAGACGTTTTTCCTACTAAGAAATATTTTCTCACTAATAATGTCACTCGCTAAGGAATTGTGCTCCATTTCTCATTAATAACGCGTATATACAACATTCTTTGTGAGAATTAATTAGACAATCAATGATGCAATTTCGCAATGGCAGATTGATTAAAAATTACTATTTCGTGATCCTTCATGCTTTGCAATAATTTCCGGCTGCGTCTTGAGTCAGTAACATCTCTCGATCCGTATTGAGCCTGTGTGCTAGACCTATGGACCCTTCTCCGTATATTTTGTAAGTTACTTAACCTTAACCATAGCAAGCCGAACAAGCTAACCACTTGCCATTGATATCCTTCATTATTATTTGGACAGAATTAATTTTAGCGGTTCCGATATTAGTGACTTCCAGATTAATAAACATAATATAACCTATGTTATTTTACATAAATATAACGTTAAAAACGTTGTGTTTGGATAACATTAATGCGTACGTTATTTATATTGTTGATACTATGCGTTTCGCGGTGGCAGGATTTCTTGAGAGCGTTTACGATTTACGATTATTGCGAATGAAGGCTGTTTTACACCCAACGACTAAACATTAATATTTAAACAACATTCAGTTAAAAGGTATATTTAAATAACCGGACTTCTTAGCTACTTAATTTTTAGGCCAAAAAATATCAGGTTTCCCCACTTTTTAGCAGGTCATATTTTCTGCTCGTTTTTGTTTTGCTTGTATTCTTTTTCTTTTTTATAGATATGTTTTACCTATGTCTTTTGGGATTCCTTTTTTCCCTCGTTTTTCTTTTATGATACTTACTTTCTATACATATTTTTTTGTGCTAATATTATTTAACATTTTGTATATCTCTATTATGTTATATATTATGTCTAATTTACATTTTTGTTTTCATACTTATTTCTAGTTAACATTTTTATTTCTATATTTGTGTTTAATTTACATTGTTTTATTCTCACACTTATATCTATTTGCCTATTTTTATTTATCTTTAATTTAAATACAGGTTTATCACAGTTGAAATTTGTTGTATATATGTATTATCTACCTATTTATTCAGTCTTTATTTTTATCTACCACTTTTTCTATAATTTCACAAGTATGTTTAATAACTGTTCTCTTTCTTCTCTATCATTCATTATTGTATTACATGTGTAATGTTAATGATTTAAAAAAAAATATGATCACCCTTAATCTGTTTTGCATCACATTGCAAATTAAATTAATTTGCCTTATAATATCACGACAAAGGGAATATAACATGTGTGTGTAATACTTAAGCTGATTACAGGTACAAAGAACCCCTCGAAAATAAAATCAGCTACCACAATACCTTTGCGGAGACTCGAAACGTTGAGCATTTTAAATCTGTATAATTTTATTACGTAAACCTAATTCCACTTCGCCAAATTGAATACTACCGACGAAAAATTACTTTCATTATGCCAAAATAGAAAAAGATAAATATATATAACACCGGTGGGGTGGAAAAAGAGGAGGGATCTATCTGATTATCTTGTGACGATCAATCGTGAAATTTACATGGAAGGTAAATAAAATGTAAATTAGATTAAACACATTGAATTGTTTAAAAGAAATTAGGCTATAAATTTTTATATTGTACGCTTATTTATACAACTTAAATATCATTTAATAAAGTTCTAAGTTACTACGAAAAATCCTGTAAAAACTCTCTTTAATATTGAGAATTTTATTTACACACAATAAATTTTGTTTTTATATTATACACAATCTGTTTCTCCGACTTTGTACTTGTAAATTATAGTTATGTCACTGGCGTATGATCACCCATCTAAAGACCAGTTCCCTTAAAAACATTTAACGTTAAACAAACTTTCGCAAAGACTGGTTACGCATCGGTGATAATTAGAAAATTTTAACCACTATTCAGTTCATTAGTAATAGAATTTCCTCGAACGCTGAAACAGGTAATCCTCGATTGGTAGCCTAATAAAAAATGTTTAATTTTTGTAACTTCAAAAATGATAAGACTACTATAAAAGCTTTTAACACCTATTTCACTACCTTAGAGGCTGAAATTCCAAAAATAATTCTTTTGACTTATTTATTAATCCTAATTATGGTCATCTACCATCAGTTAAAAATTTTGGAGTTTTGCTGAGAAGAACTGGCGACACAAACTCCGACAAAAAAAGTGAATTGCTCACCTATGATTTAATATTTACATAAGGAACTAACCTAATATTATCTTTTGGTTTTGCAATGTGTGATCTGGATTGAGATTTTATTTGACTAATTACTGGGTCCCAAGCCGGTGGTATATGCCAACCTTTGTCTATATTAAAATAGATTAAAATAGCGGATAGTGCACGTGAAAATATAAGAAATCAAGATGATGAATCAGACAGGACAAGTTCCTTAGATTATTAAAGAATATCAGGATCAAATATTACTAATCTATTACCGGTATGTAAATAAACAAAAATCCAATATCTTCAATAGGAAAACAATTTCACTCCACGCGAGCGTAATAATAAAGTACGATAAAGGACAGCCTTTAGAGGCGTAACAATACTCTTTCAATCCATTCAGAGACAAATTCCATCCGCACGATACAGATCCCGC